TCCTTGACTCCTAGCTTATCTTCCCATCAGTCAGTTCCTTGACTCCTAGCTCAACTTCCCATCAGTCAGTTCCTTGACTCCTAGCTCATCTTCCCATCAGTCAGTTCCTTGACTCCTAGCTCATCTTCCCATCAGTCAGTTCCTTGACTCCTAGCTCATCTTCCCTTTAGTCATTGCCTTGAATCCTTAGCTAATCCTGACTTCTTTTGAGTAGTAATGTTGTAAATCTAGGTCATCTGCTACTTTGGGTCTCCCAGCCTTTGGATGTGTGTTGATGGCTTCCACTAATCAGGCTGTCCAGTATTGCTGACTGCAGTATTAACCAACAGCAAATAAACAAGAAACTGGTTAATAAGGGGGTGTTTACCTAAACACCAGGTGTTAGATTGTGATGGCAATACTTCAATTTGTCCTTACCTTCTTTGTTAGATTTCCTATTTACAGAGAGTGGAAAATGTCCTCAGTGTCATTTATATCGTAATTCTGAGCATCTATTTGTTCATTTTAGCTTCGACTTACGACCATAAGAGACATCTCATCAGTATGGTCTTCCTTGGAATCGTGGCATGTGTTAATCTTGTGGCGAATTTTGTTATCTAAAAATAGTACAAGTGTAATCAAAGATTTGTATGTATATGTATAGACGCATGCGACCGGCTGAGTGTGAGGAATTTAGTCTCATTGATGAACAGCACTTTTCATTAACCTGAGCGGCTGATTGGACAGTAAAGTTCTTCAGTAATCCCTGGGTCTAAATTATATTACTTGTTCCTCCTTCAAGCCTGGAATGGGAGGATTCAGAGAAATATTGTGTAATTTAACATATCAAGGCTATGGTCCCTGTGATGGAGCCGACGTGGAATGTGTCACATGATGCTAGCTAATGGTCGGCTCCCACGGGACAGTGGGGACAGGAATGAGGCTTTTCACAAAAATGAAATATGAATGAAAATAGATGCCGTAGCAGGTCTTTCATATCAGAATCAATAGTGATTAAGGAGTTGTTTCACAAGCCTGTCTGAGGAAGTAGGGCTGAATGCTGAGGAATGTGGAAGTGTTTTCTCCTAGAGTTGGGAACCCATTTGAACCGATCGGGCTTAGACTGGCTGTTCCATGTCTGTTAACAGCACATTACCCGGTAACTGCTTGTCCAGAGAACAGCAGATTCACTGTCTGTTAACAGCAGATTAATTTGTCTTTTAACGTCAGGTAAGCTGCTGGTCTGTTAACACCTGATTAACTTTTTAACTTTAGTCTGCTGTTAACAGACAAATAGGTTACAGTCTGCTGTTAGTGGACCTGTAGCTAGTCTGCTGTTAGTGGACCAGTAGTCTGCTGTTACTGGACAAGTAGGTTGCTTGTCAGTAGACCAGTAGTCTGCTGTTAGTGGACCAGTAGTTAGTCTGCTGTTAGTGGACAAGTAGTTAGTCTGCTGTCAGTGGACCAGTAGTTAGTCTGCTGTTAGTGGACCAGTAGTTAGTCTGCTGTAAGTGGACCAGTAGTTAGTCTGCTGTTAGTAGACCAGTAGTCTGCTGTTGTGGACCAGTAGTTAGTCTGATGTCTGTGGACTAATAGTTGGTCTGCTGTTAGTGGACCAGTAGTCTGCTGTTGTGGACCAGTAGTTAGTCTGCTGTCTGTGGACTAGTAGTTGGTCTGCTGTTAGTGGACCAGTTGTTAGTCTGCTGTTGTGGACCAGTAGTTAGTCTGCTGTTAGTGTACCAGTAGTTAGTCTGCTGTTAGTAGACCAGTAGTCTGCTGTTGTTGACCAGTAGTTAGCCTGCTGTCTGTGGACTAGTAGTTGGTCTGCTGTTAGTGGACCAGTAGTTAGTCTGCTGTTGTGGACCAGTAGTTAGTCTGCTGTTAGTGGACCAGTAGTTAGTCTGCTGTTAGTGGACAAGTAGTAAGTCTGCTGTTAGTAGACCAGTAGTCTGCTGTTGTGGACCAGTAGTTAGTCTGCTGTTAGTGGACCAGTAGTTAGTCTGCTGTCAGTTGACCAGTAGTTAGTCTGCTGTTAGTAGACCAGTAGCTAGTCTGCTGTCAGTGGACCAGTAGTTAGTCTGCTGTCAGTGGACCAGTAGTTGGTCTGCTGTCAGTGGACAAATAGGTTGTCTGTTAGTAGACCAGTAGTTAGTCTGCTGTTAGTGGACCAGTAGTTAGTCTGCTGTCTGTGGACTAGTAGTTAGTCTGCTGTCAGTAGACCAGTAGTTAGTCTGCTGTTAGTGGACCAGTAGTCTGCTGTTGTGGGCCAGTAGTTAGTCTGCTGTTGTGGACCAGTAGTTAGTCTGCTGTCAGTGGACCAGTAGTTAGTCTGCTGTCAGTGGACCAGAAGTTGGTCTGCTGTCAGTGGACAAATAGGTTGTCTGTTAGTAGACCAGTAGTTAGTCTGCTGTTAGTGGACCAGTAGTCTGCTGTTGTGGACCAGTAGTTAGTCAGCTGTTGTGGACCAGTAGTTAGTCTGCTGTCAGTGGACCAGTAGTTAGTCTGCTGTCAGTGGACCAGTAGTTGGTCTGCTGTCAGTGGACAAATAGGTTGTCTGTTAGTAGACCAGTAGTTAGTCTGCTGTTAGTGGACCAGTAGTTAGTCTGCTGTCTGTGGACTAGTAGTTAGTCTGCTGTCGGTAGACCAGTAGTTAGTCTGCTGTTAGTGGACCAGTAGTCTGCTGTTGTGGACCAGTAGTTAGTCTGCTGTTGTGGACCAGTAGTTAGTCTGCTGTCAGTGGACCAGTAGTTAGTCTGCTGTCAGTGGACCAGTAGTTGGTCTGCTGTTAGTAGACCAGTAGCTAGTCTGCTGTCAGTGGACCAGTAGTTAGTCTGCTGTCAGTGGACCAGTAGTTGGTCTGCTGTCAGTGGACAAATAGGTTGTCTGTTAGTAGACCAGTAGTTAGTCTGCTGTTAGTGGACCAGTAGTTAGTCTGCTGTCTGTGGACTAGTAGTTAGTCTGCTGTCAGTAGACCAGTAGTTAGTCTGCTGTCAGTGGACTAGTAGTTAGTCTGCTGTTAGTGGACAAGTAGGTTGTCTGTTAGTAGACAGTAGTTAGTCTGCTGTTAGTGGACCAGTAGTTGGTCTGCTGTCTGTGGACTAGTAGTTGGTCTGCTGTTAGTGGACCAGTAGTTAGTCTGCTGTTAGTGGACCAGTAGTTAGTCTGCTGTTAGTGGACCATTAGTCTGCTGTTGTGGACCAGTGGTTAGTCTGCTGTTGTGGACCAGTAGTTAGTCTGCTGTCAGTGGACCAGTAGTTGGTCTGCTGTTAGTGGACCAGTAGTTGGTCTGCTGTCTGTGGACTAGTAGTTGGTCTGCTGTTAGTGGACCAGTAGTTAGTCTGCTGTTAGTGGACAAGTAGGTTGTTTGTTAGTAGACCAGTAGTTAGTCTGCTGTTAGTGGACAAGTAGTTAGTCTGCTCTCAGTGGACCAGTAGTTAGTCTGCTGTTAGTGGACTAGTAGTTAGTCTGCTGTTAGTGGACCAGACGTTAGTCTGCTGTTAGTGGACCAGTAGTCTGCTGTCAGTGGACAAGTAGGTTGTCTGCTGTCAGTGGACCAGTAGTTGGTCGTTGTCAGTGGACTAGTAGTTAGTCTGCTGTCAGTGGACTAGTAGTTAGTCTGCTGTTAGTGGACCAGTACCATATTTTCTTGAGTATAGTGCGCACACCCCTCTATTTTGGAAATTTTTTATTTTTGAATATTTTTTGCAGAAAAATATTACACCGTACCCTTTCAGCGAACTCCGGTAAATGAACAGGTGATAAGAAACTTGGTCAGTACAAATTTAAGATGCGAGAAAAAAAATCACCAGACATGTTGATTTACTATTTAAATTGTATTTCTTGTTCTGCTGGGCATTGTTTAACAACCAGGGATTAAGATTACCTTGTGTATTTTCTGGGAAACTAAGCTGGAAACAGCAATCAGCTGTACACACTTTTTCTTGGAATCTGCCGGTAATTTGGTTAAAACTTACCCAATGATATAACTTTAAAGGATTTTGATGCAAGGATCGGGAAAAATTGTATCTAAAACTATTTTTTTATCAGGAATAATATATTTCAATATTATGTTTTTTTAGTTGCAGTTTTTACTAAATATCTTTAAAATGATAATAACCCTAAGCGTAGCACTTCTGTGCAGGTGATTGCTATTGCCGGTTATTTTTTTTCACATGGAACAATTTGACCAGTCACTGTCGAGGCTCCCACGCACGTGATTGCGAGAAGTACATGTTGACATAGAATCGTCAAACTACAATAAATATTACTTTTAATGAATCAAATTACAGCATTTATGACATATGTATCAATTCTCTGTCAATTAAATTTGGTTTCATGACGTCAATAGCGGTAACTGACCGTAGTTGCTGTTAATAATGATGAGTTATATGATATTCCGATTGCTTCACACACGATTTTGACAAAATTAATTAAAACAATATTAAAAGGAATTTTAGATAAAATTAATGAAATAAGTTACAAACATAAGTCCAGACAAGTCCAGAGATACAAAGAACACTTTTTATAGCCAGACGGTGTCATTACATGATTAACTTGCGTACTTCAGTACGGATTTGTTGACATGGCATTTCTGTTTTTGCATGCTCATGGTAAAGTCTTTGCGTTGGGGGAAAAACATCCAGATTCATTATGGCGTGTATCATGCACACCCTCTTCTACATAGCTGTGTTTTGGAAAAAAAGTGGGCACTATACACAAGAAAATACGGTAGTTAGTCTGCCGCTAGTGGACAAGTAGTTAGTCTGCTGTATTATTAAACATGCTTATAACTAGTTGGTATTGTGCAGTTGACAGATATTTATTATGATTATAGAAAAGCTTTTTTCACTTTTATTTGCAGTTCATGGCATGACGAGAATATCTTTAGAATAACGACAAGATTCTGCTATACAACAAGGATGTAATCTGGAATAGAACTGTAATATGTAGAGTTATATGATTTGGTCTGATGAATGTCGTAAGAACAATCCCAGTTATAGCATTATATGCCTCTGTTCCAGGACTGAGGATCTGAGTGAATTGCAGCTGACAGCAGAGTGGCTGGACTGTCCACACCTCCCCCAGGTAGGTGCCCCCAGTACCCACCCACCACCCCCGAGAAGGTGCCCCCAGTACCCACCCACCACCCCCGAGTAGGTGCCACCAGTACCCACCCACTACCCCCGAGTAGGTGCCCCCAGTACCAACCCACCACCCCCAGGTAGGTGCACCCAGTACCAACCCACCACCCCCAGGTAGGTGCACCCAGTACCAATCCTCCTCCCCCAGGTAGGTGCCTCCAGTACCCACTCTCCACCTCCAGGTAGGTGCCCCCAGTACCCACCCACCACCCCCGAGTAGGTGCCCCCAGTTCCCACCCTCCCTCCCAGGTAGGTGCCACCAGTTCCCACCCTCCTTCCCCAGGTAGGTGCACCCAGTACCCACCCTCCTTCCCCAGGTAGGTGCCCCCAGTTCCCACCCTCCCTCCCAGGTAGGTGCCCCCAGTACCCACTCTCTACCCCCAGGTAGGTGCACCTACTACCCATGTGTACCTTCACATAGTGACTCATAGCCACACATATCCCCCACATACCCCTCACATATCCCTCACATACCCCCCACCCCCTCACATACCCCCCACCCCCTCACATATCCCTCACATACCCCCCACATACCCCTCACATACCCCTCACATACCCCCCAACATACCCCCCACCTACCCCGCACATAATGAACTAATGAGTCTATACATAGTCAAAAAATCGTGTAAGGAAATCAACATCCGGTTCATAAACTGCCGTTATCGTAAATCTTTTCATGTTTTTAATCAAGGTGCTCACGTGATTTGATGCACTTTGCGAAGTAAGTCAACTGTTTTATTACAATATAGATCTTGATTATCGATCAGATTGTCTTTACTGGGCGCCGCCATTTTGTTTGAAGCAAATGCATGTGATATAAGAGATGGAATTTGATTGGTTAATAGGAGGGACATAGAAGGGACATAACTTGTAATAGCCACTGGTGGCGCTAAAATTGAACCCAGAAATTCCAGACTTGTTCGACAAGGGTGGAAACTGGACATTTAGTCAGTAACTCCCTTGCCTCAGGAAGATGATTGCTGTGTGTTCTGTCACTGATTGGCCTGCTCCTGACTCAAGTATCAGTGGAAAGTAATTTGCTGGAAAGTTGTTGACTGGCATTAAACAACACTCTGTCATATAAATTCATATAAAATTGAGATCTTATACCAACAAATAGTCTCATATTCCCAATCTAATCATGTTGTTTCTGTAATTGTGTATATGTTAAATATTCACTCAGTTTAAGGTTGTAGCTGAGTGTTGCCTGGAGGTGATTGGTTGGATTCTGCCATGATGTAGAATAAACTGAGTGTAATAACGCAAGGTGATCCTCTCCAGTCCCCCTCCAGCAGGATCGGGGAACACATTACACCGGAACACGATAATCATGTACAATATACTACTCAAAACAAGTTAAAGAACACCCGGTTCTTACCATGACAGGAAAACTATAGTAATATGAAAGCATTGTGTGTTCTTTAACCTATTTTGAGCAGTATATATGTATTCACTTGTCGTCGTCCATTTCTTTATTGTCAAACACAGCAGATGAAGTAGGTTTTCTATACAGCAAAAATGTCTAGTTTACATCATGGAAGTTATTCTATCACTGAAGAGGAGCATTAATGCATTGTTTGACTTGTTCAAATAGTTTTACAAAGGATTTTCATTTTGAAAAAAACATTTTATTCCTTCTTGATGATAAATCCAACTTTCTGGTGTAATTTGCATTTTGAAGTTTCCAGATGGCTCTGGTTAATGCTCTTAGACTCCGACAGACATGTGGCATTGTATATTCAGGGGAGAATAATAGTTGTCCGTACTTCTTAATCTCCATAACAATAGAACATAGAGCTTGCATTTACTGACTAAAAGAAATAAAGGCAGTCCATCCTTTCATCTGTCCATGAGCACTGAATGTCTTCACAACTGACCATATCAATATGATTTTTGCAGAATTTGTTCTATGAATTTCCTGACTGCAACTAAGTAGAGCTTGTTTTGAAAATGTTATAGTGTCCTCCACAACAACTCAACTGTTTCCACTTTTCCACAACTGGTAGTTGTTTTTTGATTTGTTTGTTTGTTTGCACTCAGCAATATTCCCGCTGTATGACGGCGGTCTGTAAATAATCGGGTCAGGACCAGACAGTCCAGTGATTGACATCATGAGCATCGATCCACGCAATTGGGACCGATGACATGCATTAACCAAGTCAGCGAGTCTGACCACTCCCGTTAGTCGCCTCTTACGACAAGCATAGTCGCCTTTTACGGCAAGCATGGGTTGCTGAAGACCTATTCTATCCCGGATCTTCACGGGTAGCTGTGTATGGGGTTGTTCTCAACAGTAAAGTAAGGTTAACATTTTGAAAAAATGGCTGTTCAGGTTTCTTTGTTGTAAAGGATCAATATGATATATATTTTCTGAGATGGGCTTACTACGCATTTAAGAGATTTCATACTTGAAACTGTTTGTCCGTTCTTCAGTCTGTCCATATTTCATTTCCAGGGCATAACTTGAAAACTGAAAGATTTTTTACCCAAACTTGGTACTTGTATTGACCAGGGACTGAAGTGGGACCTTTTGCTATTGTCGGGGCCGGAGGTGAATGATGGTGTGCTGGCTATGTCAATAGTGGCACTGAAAGTTCTTTTGTATCTTGGAGTGGTTTGGGGTAATATCTTTGACATCAAGGTAATTTCCTCTCTTTCATTTGGGCGGTCGGGTAGCCTAGTGGTGAAAGCGTTCGCTCATCACGCCGAAGACCCAGTTTCGATTCCTCGCATGGGTGCAATATGTGAAGCCCATTTCTGGTGTCGACTGATTGCTGGAATATTGCTAAAAGCAGCGTAATACTAACTAACTCTCTCACTCTTTCATCTGAGGTATGGGCTTTTTTGGTGCCTCCAGACTGAGACCCTGTGATTCCTCAGCTTCCTGGCGTTATTTATCATGAGCATCATCCAAACACTGCAGTCGTGTTCCTCCTAGGTTCCACTGACCAGCTCCTTGCCCTATAGCTAGTGGATAGTGTTTCTGCCTGAAAAGTGGGAGGTCAGTGGTTCAATCAATAACCAACCACATCATACCAGGAGACATTAAAAGATTGTAATTCTTGTTTACCTGCCTGATGCTCGGCGTTAAGGATGTAAAACAAGGACTGGTCAACTCAGAGTCAGTATACTATGTCTGAGTGGATGTCCATGTTAAACTGTGGCATGGTGTCTCAGTGGGCTATCACTACAAAACTGGCATTAGTCCGGACTAGTACAAGCAGACAGACACACGTGTGCATGCATATCACAGTATAAGTGCAATAATCTTGAATGCGATGTTAGACCTCTTTTCACCTCACTTCACTACATATGTCCTACTGTTTTAAAAGAGTATAATCTGCAATATACAGTAAGTGATATAGTTTTCTCTCAGGAAGTGAGTGAGTGAGTGAGTGAGTATGGTTTTACACTGCTTTTGGCAATATTCCTGCAATATCATGGCGGGGGACACCAGAAATGGGCTTAACACATTGTACCCATATCGGGAATTGAACCCGGGTCTTGGGCGTGACAAGCGAACACTTTAATCACTAGGCTACCCATGAATAATGAAAGATATCCCCGACAGTGTTATTTGTTAATGAAGAAGCTGGATGAATGTGGTAGAATTACTTGGACAACTCATGTTAAATATTTACTCGACATTTATGGATTTGGTTATGTGTGTCACGAACTGAATATTGGTGATGTTAAGTGTTTCTTGCAGTTGTTTAGACAGTGTTTGTTGGATTGTAACAAACAGAGTATACAGATGAAAATCTATGAGTCTTGTAAATTAAGGTATTATTCACACGTCAAGATATTATTGGACATGGAATATTATGTTACAGCTTTCAGAAATAGAGACCATAGACGTATGCTGTGCCTGTTGAGATAAAGTGAATTGCTTATACAGAGTAATCTGGGCAGAAGAGAGGATATTGTTTATTCACAACGCTTTTGTCGGCTATGTAACAATGGTTGTATTGAGGAGTCCATTTTGTGTTTGTCTGCCCGTTTTACGCATCATTAAGACAAAAGTATATTCCTGTAAGATTCCATAACAATCCATGTATTAACCTTTTAGCAATCTCTTAAATAGCCAAAATGACTGTATACTCAGAAATGTAGCTAAGTATGTGAAGGAAGCTCTATTATTACGTACACAGACCTAATATTGTACCCTTAGCATTCTTTTCAATGTAAATTGCCTCAATTGTGTGTTACTATATATGACTGAAATGTACATGGGCCTATGGCCTCCCATACATGAATAAACATATATATATATGCATACTTTCAAATCATTTAAAGCTCTTTCTTCATAGATTCCAACTTTTACTATAAGCCCATCCTAACAAAATAATCTTGAATCTCTAAAAATATACTCATTTTAAGTCTATGTTGATTTCTTCTGTGTGATTACTTTAGATGAGAAGTACCCTGGTTTTAGATTACACTTATGTTACACAATGACCCGGGTGTCTTTAACTTATCTCAGATGAGAGACTTTATGTCAACATCAGTGCCAAGAATAATGTCTGCTCCAAAAGTTTTCAAATAACAACATTTCATGGCATGACAATGTGCCCGACCAAAGCAAGCATCAGGGCATATATATAACTTCTAGCATTATAGATTTCACTTGTGTTGACTAACATAGGTACTGGTGCGCTAAAAAAAGGCGTACCCAACATCTTCAAATGTGATGAAAACGTTCTCGTAGAATAAATCTTTAATACTATTGTTTCCTGAGGTACTTGTGTTTATATCCGTCTGCTCCACACTCTCCTCCAGCATCTCAAGTGGCCGGTCTCTCATCCCCTGATGGCCTGTTTGATGTATATTTGTCTTACTTTCAGGGTGTATCTCTGTTTAAAGCCAGCTCAGAAAACAAT